CGAGGGGCGCGGGGACCCCCGCCTGGCGCGCCGCGCTGGAGGGCTCGGGGACACCGCCAGCGCCTTGAACGTGGTTGTGGCTGCCGAACGGACCCGTCGCGCCCTCTGCTCGGCGACAGATTAGAAAGGGGCTTCAGCAGGCTCCGAGCGCTTCAGAGAGCGAGTGATGCAGCGTTTTAATGATTTGCTGTAGGGGAGATCGTTTTGCTTCCATATTGGAATATTTAATCTTAGATCTGGGGAGATTAGCGAGCTCCGGTACCCGGCGGGCGCTGGAGGAGGAGGTGGGCAGGGGCGCTCTGGGCAGAAAGCGCCCTGTCCTCTGCCCGGGCCAGCACGCGAGCGGGCGCTCCCAGCCAGGCGCACAGGGAATCGGCCCGGCCGCCACTCCCCAACTTTTGGAGCCCTGCCTCTCCTTCGGATGTGCAGTCTGGAGGGAAAGGGAAGGAAACCCGCCGAGCAGCCTTCAAAGCTGGGGCCAGACCCAGCGTGTAGGGGGATGGTCGTTCAGCCGAGCACGGAGGCTGCTTCCGAGAGGCCGTCTCCTGACGCCGGCGTGCACAGGGCAGTTCCCGGGCTGCTCAGACCATGGCCTGCCGTCAGCTCTGGGAAGCAGGCGCTGCATCTGCTCGCTGGGTACTGAAGGTGCCGGGCTGGGGGAGGGTGGGAGCTGTGTGTGGGGGTGGGGTGGAACTGCTCCGGTTTTGAGCTCAGGCGCCTGAGGTGGACTTTCTTCTGGGCTGAGACCTGTCGTGCGCTGGGTGGGTGCAGACTGCTAAGGGTGGAGAATGCGAGGGGCTCCGGCTAGCCTCCGGCGTAGCCCCTGATCACTGCCGTCATTCTGGGCTACCCGGGGACAGTGGACACTTGTGTGGCCATTGCATGTGCCAAGCAGCCTGCGAGCCTCCTATGGATGACTTTTTAAAATGTTTTGTCGAGTTAGGTGACTTCTGTTTTCTCGAGTGGTAAGAGATTTATACGTGAGCCTTGCTTTTCCTTCACACTGCTTTTGTAAAAAACACGCTGTAAGGGAAGGCGGCCTCTGCCTGCTAACTTTGAACCCTTGGCCAGTTGAGGGTGAGTTTAGCTCTTCAGAGCTGGAAGCCTCCCTTCCCCGGCCTGAGTGTTAGCGGCAGGACTGGTGTGCGTGCTGGGGAGGGGGAGGATGATCTCCTACAGCAGTTCCAGCTAACCTGGCCGCCACTGAGCTCTCCCCAGTTTGGCCGCTGAGCTGCATTTCCTCCCAGCAGGTAGGACTGTAGGACCGCCAGCTGAGCCGTTAAGAACTCCCTTTGGGGGGGTGGATGCTATGGTCTGTCTGGTGGCTTCTCCACATGGCAACACCTTCCTTCAGTCACCCCTAACCCAAGGAACAAAGAAAAGAGGGAGACATGAGAAGAAACAGAAAAGGAAAAGAAGCCCTGAAATCCAGCCCGCTGCTCCCAGCAGGCTTCCCCAGGCGGAAGAAAGGGAAGTGTTCTCGAGTTGGTGCTCAAGCGCCCGGCCCTTCTTCCGGAGCACTGGCTTGTCTGCTTTTCGGGTTTGTGTGTTTGTTTTTGTTTTTGTTTTTTTAAGGGTGGAAAACAGTCATGATTGTTGGATTCAGGGGAAATCGAAGGCTCTGAGTTGCAGTCCAAGCAAAGGATTCCTGGTGCAAAGGGATCGAAGCAAAATGCAGGAGAAACCCGGGCCAAGTCGCCCAGGGTGCTGAGCTTTTCTATCTGGGACACCCAGGCAGGTTCGGCTTTTCTCCTTCGGGGACCCGGATTTCTTCCTCTCTTCGGCTTTTTAACGCCTGTCGGTGCTGTGAAAGGGCAGTTCGGAAGGAGGAGGAGAGCGTTCACTTTGCAGGACGTCAGCACTAGGGAGAGCAGCTCTGGGAGCTGGGCAGACCTTCTCTGCGAGAAAAGGCAGAGGCGGAGAGCGGGGGAGACCATCTCTCCGCAGCGAAGGAATGCTGGAACCTTTCCCCCGTCTCTCCCGCTCTCTTTTTGTTTGCTGTTTTTCCAATTTGCCATCTTCACTGCTCCCTTACACACACACACACACACACACACACACACACGCACACACGCGCGCGCACACACACGCGCGCACGCGCACACGCCCGCGCACTCCGGGCTTCCCGGCGCTCGCTCCCGACCCCATGCTAAGCGCGTCCCCTGCTCGGAGCTCATTTTCGTGACGCGGAGAGCCGGATCCGGGGTTACAGCACACGTTCAAAAAAAAAAAA